ACCCATTTATTTGAGCATGAATATGATAAATTGAAGCGTTACTACTCGCTCCATTTAACTACTTGCATTTATTAAAACATTATTATAAGTTTAGTTAATAAGTTATTAATTACAATATTATTTTTAGAAAATATTATTATAAATAGAGTAATATTATCTATTGTTATTTTTAATTATTTTTTAAAACTAATGTCTCACATCAAATAAAAGAATTATATAATGTAGAATAATTCTCTAAATTCTAATTATTTTTTATAATTAAAATCTCACATCAAATAAATAAAACATATAAAAAATATTTATAATTATATAAATATATTTAAGATAAATAAATTTTGATATTTAATATATAATTAGTGGTGATTAATTAAAAATGTCTTTAACCTTTACTTAAAAAACTTACAAGAGTTTAGAAGGTATAAATTATAATTATTAAAATTAATTATCATTTGTTGAAGTTAACAAAAACTTAATAATATCATTAAAATGTTATAAAATTACTATTTTAATAAAATTTTAAAAAATGTTATTTAATTATATAAAAATATAATGTTATTAAAAATATTTGATAATATAATACAAAATAAATTATTAACACATTTATCAGAATTAGATAATATTTTTTTTAAAATATTGTTAAAAGTTCTCTGTGTTTTACTGGTCACACAGTGAAATGAAAGAACATATACGTAGCTCAGTGATTAGAGGCACATTTCTGAGCAACTTGAGCCGCATGGATGTTTGTCCAAGATTGAGTATGACCCAAGAAAGTAAAAGTAGCTCAAACAAAAAATATTCAAACAAACAAAGAAACACTCTTATAATATATATAATTGGAATTTGTCAAAAATTCTTTGCCAATTATACTATTTATAGAATGAAATAATACTATACCTTTACATTATTATATTTCCTAAAGTGTTATCTTTACACTAATATTAACAATCTTCAAAATTTATTAAAAATTATAAAATCAGAATATACTTGTTAAATATTATGTAATGCTCAAGAAAATTATAATTTATTTGGTTATTTAATAATAAAAAATTAAAGAATATATTTAAAAGGTTGCTAGCTTCCTCTTTGTCTCTCCATGTATTACACTCTCTCTTTTCCATCTCCTTAATTGTCCAATTTTTGTTGTATTATTTTTGTATAAATAATAGACAAATATAATTTATCCTCAAGAATAAATTAACAAGACATAGTGGAAAAAAAAATTATTATAGTTTTTCACATCCTTATCTGTTTATGCCATTGTCACCTTTAGCTTTTGTCCTTTTTCATATTATGAAAGTATCATTGCAGGCTGTTTTGTTTTATATTTTGTATATTTATGAAATTCAACAAATATAGGAGTATGTAGTAACAATCTAAAAAAAAGACATGAGAAGAAGATTTGTATCTAAGGTTAGGGACAGAAGAAGCAGAGCTTTTTGTGGGAAAAGTGAATTAGGAGGTGTGCGTCCTTGTTGTCGACCCTTTTTGCTTCTTTCTGACATTATTCTGCGTTGCCAAAATCCCAAATATGATCCACGTAGTACCTTCAGAGTCAAACATGCTTTTGCTTCCTTCATCCCACTTCGTTTTATCACCATCATGTTCATGCATGCAGCATGCATATGCTTTCACTATTATTATTATTATTATACATCACCCTACACGTAGTAACAGGCTTACTTTACTGTTTGCCGCTAAAGTAAACAAAATAAACCAATGTAGTACTAGAATAGGATCTGAGGTGTAATTTCTTTTTCTGGATGAAGAGATAGAAACAAATGTGCAAGCATGCAAGCGTGATTTAACCAGCATGTATACTCTGTGCAGAGTTGTGGTACGGGACACACACTGGTAAAAATTATTAAAGATTTAAGTTACATGCAAATGAAACCATTTACTTTTTTTTTCTAATGATCTTTTTATCACATCAACCATTTTATTTCATACTATTTTTTTTATCTCTTATTTATGTGAGTTATTGCATAAATGAAACTTTTGTAGTGTGTTTAATGATTGTTTAAACTTGTATATTGTTCATGGATTAAAAATTATTGTTAGCAAACCATTTAATTATGTATTATAAAATGTAATAAGTTAAACATGTATAGTACTTGTAATTAGATAACAGTATGATATTACTTTACATTGTCTTGACATAGTCCATTTTTCTTATTTCTTGTATGGCAAAATGAGTTAGAATTTAATAGTTATGCCCCGACAATATATAAACACAGCTAATTACATATCATTAATTAGTATGATTTTTTTAATTATTTATTATATAAGAGTCGATACTTAATAATTAATGATTGAAAACAAGAATATAAAACTAGACATAATGTAATTTGTGATTAAGTTAAAGAAAAGTAGAATATGTAAGTATAGAGTAGTAGAGTGGAGGGATAGGAATAGCATAGAGGGGGAGGAGAAGTGTTCTCCTAAAGCAGTGACAAAGTGGCAGTTGGTGTTGAGAAGAGCAGAGTGCAGAGAATGAAGGCGTGGTTTGAGCCTCTCTTCTTCAACCAACCGCATGCAGAATCAGGCGGCGGAACCATACACTTTTCCATTAATTGTCGTTTTGGAATATGCATTGGAAATCACACAAACTCATCACCACAACACTCACACCTTTCAACTTTTTTCTCCTTTTATTTTAGACCACTTTCATCTTCAATCAAGCTACTAGTAAGAAAATATGCCTTTTTAAGTAGTAATGCCCATGCTTCAATTTCAGTTTTATAAATGGTTTCTTTTTTAAAATCTATCTAACAAATAGGGATGATAAAATAACACCAGAAATCATTTCTATTTCATAACAGATGAGGAAGAATTTCTCAAATAGTAGGAGATAACAAATTTGACAACTTCTCCTTTGCATTTCCCTTCCAATTACACAATCATTTTCATTTTATTATTATTGATTTGAGGAAATATATGCAGGTTAAAAGGGTTCTCACTTCTCACGTTATTATTATTTTTTAATATTTTATTTATGAAAATGATTAAATGAGTAATATGGCCTAAAGTAAGATGGCCCAATTTTTTTTCTTCTTAAAAACTTGTGGGGCTAAACCTAGCCAGCCCATCCGAAAACTATTGGTATATGTTGGGCCTCACATTATGTTTGGGCCACATAGTACAGTGATCTTTTTTTCTTTGCCATTCATTCAGCTAACAAAAATCACGTGCATTAATTTTAATTAAACAGTACCTCTGAATGTGTAATAAAATGTGACGTGGTAGAATACAGAAAATCTTTCTGGATTCTTCCATTAGAAACAGCGCGAATATACCTGAAAAATCGACAGTTCTCTAGAAAAAGACCATAACTCATGCCACGTAAGGAATTCGGTAATTCTTCTCCCGAAGCTTCTCGAACTTTCATGCCTTCCACGTCTCCGTTATAAATCTCCTCGCCTGTTACCTTAATCCTCACGAACAAAACAAAAACAGAAACAGAAACAGAAACCTTAATCATTTCGAATCCTAACACGACCCAAGAAAATGATGCAGATGAAGAGCACTCCATTGCACAGAACCCGTTGGGGCATGACTCAGCCTGGTTACAACAATTACAAAGCACCCTCTAAGGTGGTTACGATTCCGGTTCACTTCGTGTCCTCAGAGAGCACAAGAACCGGTTCTGCAACAAAGATTCAGAAGGTGGTGAGAGGGTTCCTTGTGAGGAACACCATGAGGAAGATAAGTGGCATGAGGGTGGAGTTGGAGCGGATCGAGAGGGAGATTAGCGTGGAAGTGTTGAGGAGGGAACAGAGAGAGAGGGTGAGGGTGGTTGAAACCATCATGAACTTGCTTCTCAAGTTGGATTCTGTTAGGGTTTTGCACTATCCTGGCCTCAGGGAGTGCAGAAAGTCTCTCATCAAAAAAGCTATTGCCCTTCAAGAAATGGTTGATCAAATTGGTGTGATTGATTCTGAGAAAGAGGGTGAGTGTGTGGGAGAAGAGAATTGTCTGAAGGATGAGGAAGCCGAGAAGAATCAGGAGGTAGATAAGGAGAAAGAGGAGGAAGAGGGTATGTGCATGGAGGAAGAATGCCTTGGCTTTGGATCAAGTTTGGTTGAGGAAAAGGACTGTGAGGAAGGTGAGGGAATTGAAGGTTTGAGAAATGAGGAGGATTGTGAAGGTGAGGAAATTGAAGGTTTGAGAAATGAGGAGGATTGTGAAGGTGAGGAAATTGAAGCCATGGTTGGGGAGAATTGTTTGGTGAAAGACGAGGAAGGGGATTGTGAGGGTGGAAGAGATGAAGGAAAAGATAAGAGGGAGTTGTTGGAGAAGATGGTGGAGGACAATGAGAAGATGATGGAGATGATGGCACAATTGTTTCAGAGGAATGAGATACAAACAAGGCTTCTAACCTCTCTCATACAAAGAGTGGAACACCTGGAGAGAGCATTTGCTTGTGAGAAGCTGAGGAAGAAGAAAAAGAGAAATGGTGGTGCCAAAAATAGACAATCTGACCCTAGAAATGGCTTCATCGGATTCTGAATTGTGCCACTGCTCAAAAGGATTCCTCCATCTTTGTGATTTTGGCTTCTTTTTCTCTTTACCCGTGTAATTAGTTTTGTTCTAGAAGTTATTTTCATTGTGGTCAATGCAGTTCATTTTTGCCTTGATACTATCCAATGAAGTGGATTTCTGATAAGTTTTTGAAACTCCATTACCTCTTATTAGTTACGAATCTTTCTCTGTAATGATAGAGATCCAATTTAATGATACAATTTGAGCTTTTCAATTGCTTTCATATGTCGAAGAATGTAACAAAGTCAAATTGCTTATTGTCCATACAAAGGTTTGTTTTGCCCTTTGATTAAGTAGAACAAATAACAATAAAATCCCGTTCAACGAGAAGTACCTAATGAGTAACAAATGCCATCAATGCAGACACAATTGTACATCTTACATTCAACATATAATTTTCAATACAAGGATACAACATCTGAGAGACAATTTCCACTCTCAAGAACAACCTTGCCTAGAAGCAGTCCGTTTGTTTGGGAAGAGTTTTGTGACTGTTTTCCCCATGATCCACTCTAAATCAGAAGAGGGCAAAGAGATTTTGTCTGCGATAAGATGTACAGCTTCTTTGGCTCCCTTGTAACCACATTCAGGAACAACATGTGGAAAATCACTGCCACAACATGATTCAAGGAAGTTAATATGATTGTTTTGAATAAAGTTCTCTCACCCCTCATCCTCATTCTGCTGTTTCCCCACAAAGTTCTGTTCTATATTAGTTGAAAACATTTATGATGGGAAGTTACCTGCCCCACATAACACGGTTAGCACCAAATCTAGAGACAACTTGGGACAAGACAGGAGACAAATCCAGAAAAGGAAACTTCTCTCTTGACTCTCTGAAAAGGGCACTAAATTTAACATATACCTGTCAAACAAATATTTTGAAGTTAAAAGGATTCAAGGAATCATTATCCACTACTCGGATATAATCTATAGTGGATTGAGAACAATAAACTGATAAAAAGAAAATATGCAACTAAATAACTAATAAAAACATTTAAGCATGTTTTATTTCCTTGAAGCTCCACTCAGGAAGAAAGAATCAGGCACTTACTTGTGGGAATCTTGATAGATTCAAAAACTTGGAAAAGGTAAGAGCTTCCTCTTCATTTCTGCAATACACTATTCATATAAAAACACATTTCTTTGCCTTTGAAACAATGATTACAATATAGCTTACAATGGTGGTTTACAGTAGGCCAAGTGATCCAGCAATACAACTGTTGAAGGAAATTCTGTGCACAACTGCTCAATTTCAGAAATATATAGACCAAGCCCCTGCAATCATTCAACTCATTAATTCTTAATTTCATTAACTTCATACATATAAAAAAAAATGTCCCTCAACTGCATTGAATTGTATCAGTGATACCACAGGCCACAAGTAGAAATATTCTGGCAACCTAAGGTTGTATTAGTGGGAGGGGAAGATATTTCTTTCATATATATGCAAGGAAATAAAAAAACACCTTCGTACACAAGAAGCCCACAGCAACATTGAGTTCTCCGGCCCTTTTGAAAATTGCCTTCCCAACTTTATTTGTCATCTGCAATGAGATCATTTCAAATATAACCCAACAAACAAAAATTATTCAATAAACATCTACAACATAAAAGTCCTTTCCCTCTAAGGGGATGTAGGTGACATGGATGAAATGATGCCATTGTATTTTGTCTGAAACCTTAATATTGATCCAATACAATGTAAAAGTTGTAAACTAATAGTGAAACATACAAGGGACCACCTATTTTAAAAAACAGGTCAAATCTTTTAATGAAAATGAAAAACCATTTTCACTTCAAGCTTACGTTGACGTGACACTTTTTGTTTCATCATAGTATAAAAAGCTCTGCTAATGGTTAGGCAAATTTAAACATTAAAAAAATAGAAAGAAACAGACCTTACAACAAAGTTTTGCCTAATTTCAGATTACTATTCACATCTTGTGTTTCTTGCTAAACATATTGATAACCTAGGTTTTTGGATATCCTGTTTTCATTATGTTGACATGTCTTTATCTGTGTTTTTGTATCCTTCAATCTGCCCTTATTGATCCATTAGAAAGTTCCTATGAAAGTAGGAAGCAAATGTCAATCTTACTGCTCTACAACTAAGCCAGTCCTGTAAACTATCTGGTGGATCCGTGATACAATCACCACAGAATATTCAGCGCATATCTTATTAACTACTGCTTACTTGACTAATCAAAATATTATAGAAGAGTAAGGGAAAACGAGAATGACTCAATTGTATCCCTTCAACTTATACCATGAATAGACAGATATGTTAAAAAGAAATGGTGTTGCCTACCTTTTCCCCAGAGGGCCACAATTCTGGGTTGAATCGAACAGCACGATAACCATCCTAACAGAAAACACAAAACTTCAATTTCATTCTAAAAAAAACAGAAGCTATCCTGATAAAAGAATTTATCCATTAAACCTTTATAACAAGATCTTCAAACTGTTTAAGTCCACTTCCATCATCAGCTGGATTAGCAAGGCAACAACCAACAAATTTAGTCGGGTATTTCTTCAACGCCCTGTCCAAAGAACAAATTGACATATGTAATACCATATAATGACACAAGAAATTTAAAGAACCCATTACATGAAAGATGTAATGACTATAAAAATTCCTCCACTTGTTTAGTGACCATCCAACTCATTGTGCAGCTAATATTTAGCATATAATCAGATGAAGCATACGTCAGCAGTCAGCAAAAATGATTTATAATTTATTTTTCTAACAATTTTGGAGACCTTTTCTACAATTACAAGAGCGATATTTTCCCACTTTTATGTAAAGTTCAATATCCGATCATAACTAGCATTACCATTCACCACCAACTGCAATCTCAGTATTCTATGAAAGCAATAAAATCACTAAATCACTGAGTTCTTGCATAAAATTGTGGAGTGGGGGGGGGGGGAATAAATAAATGTCAAACCTACCTTGTGACATATCTATGATCAAATTTATGATTTATTGGCTGCACAATGAGAGCGCCATCTACTCCTGCCTCCTCCATATTCTATGGAAGAAAAAAATGAGTAACAAGATCAACGATGTGTTGACAAATAAAAATCCAATCAGAATCAGCTTCTATGTAATTAACCTCAAACAGACAATGGAGGCTGCATCAAATTCTATATGAATGGGTCAAAATTTGCAGGAAATACATGAATAAGGTGTCTTCAAACTGTTCAAATAAATATACAATAATAATGGGAAAAAATATTGAAAAATAAATATATGATTCCTATCTTGTTGACTGAAAGGTAACCATGGGTTGATAGATAATTAACTAAATCCATACCTGGAGCAAAAAATCAATATTTCCTTGTAAAGTAGGCTTATGTCCTGGAGCATAAGGGAATTCACCAGCCTTCATTTAAAAAAAAAAAAAAAAAAGGATAATGATGCTATATGGACAACCATATGAAAAGATACCAAAAATATAAAGTTATGAACTTAATACAAACTCTTTATTTTGCATAGAAGATTCTGCATAGCATTATGCAGGACAGTTTTGAAGAATAAATTTAATAGTCAAGAAATGTATAAGAATTTTTTTAATTACAAAGTGGTGTCTATGATAAAGAATTGAGCTTAGGAATAAACAATAATAGAGCTAAATGGGAAGCAATCAATAGGATACCTCTTGAGGAGAAGCCCAGATATGGAGATGGGAGTCAACAACTTTGGAGGTTGAAAGGGTTTGATTGCAGGGGAAGGCCAAGTTATCTGTAACACAACAACACCACTTGATTCAACGTCCAATGAAACAAAAAGCAGAGTACCCAGTAAGCACCTACTTTGTTTTTATACATCAACAATGGATTTTGCACATGTTAAGGAGAAAATAATCTTAATCAACAAGGTGAAAATAATTGTTGGATATCAAATCGTGCAGGAGAGTCGGTCAATCATTGATTGACTCCAATATATAATGATATATGTTTAGAGAAACTAAAGATAAGATATGTTATAACTATAGTTAGGCGATTTGTTTTGTACAATCAATCCCCCTGATTATCGAAGTACAGATTTATTGCTTTTTAGCCTATGAGTTGATTTTTCTTTCTTCTGCTCCTCTAAAATGAGAATAACAAACAATGCAAATAAACCATTTGTTGGGAGAGGTCATCGCATGATTGGTAAATGGCCTTGTCTCTTAAGAATGTGATCAAAGGTCGATCTTTGATATGTATAGAAAAGCATTTGTTGAGAGAGATTAACTCCTTAATAAATCTCAGTACCTTGGGAACTAGTCTTTAGCTTTCAGTAATGACAAGTTGGCAATAGGGTTTGGGAGAATCGCACATTTCTAGAGTCTAGAGTAGACCCAATAAAAAAGCAAACTTTCCTTGTTAATTTGTTAACCAAACATCGACATGTTTACTACAAAGATCATGAGATCATCAAATGTTAATTTCAAATTTCAACTGTGAACCAAAAAAATGCAGTTATGGTGATTATGCTATTGCTAGTGTAAGTATGTTACATTATCATATGCAGAAGCCATTAGCATGGAGTAGTTGTTATCTAATTAAAAAAATAATAGTACATAGAAATATTAGTTAAGTCCCAAAGTGAGTTTTGGATGAGTTTAGTTAATTAAGCTTGCTTTTGCATCAATGTAAGCCAAACTTACGAATGTTATAATGCACCGACGAGCACCTTCCGGCCACCAAGGCAACGCCGGAGAGGAGTACCAAAAGGGCCACCAGGGGGCTCTTCTTGTGGCTGTGGTTAGCGACGCTGGCGAGGATCCAGGCGGCGGTCATGGCGGTGTCTTTGACTCCGGTGGTTAAGACTTTAGTTTAGACTTATGAGTTATGAGTGTGACTCTTGTCAAAGTTTCTTTTTCTTATGAAGGCTAATTTATAAATAAATTTTATAGGGAACTGTACCCATAAAAATTGAAAAGTTTTAGTATATCATATTATATGAATAAATAAATTTTAAAAAATAAATTTAAAATAACATAAATTTTAAATTAAGAATTTATATAAAATAAATCAATCAAAAAGATTAATTTAAAATAAAATAATTAAAAGGTCAATTTTCATAACAAATTTTATTTATATGTGATCAAATTAAAAAATTAAAAACAAAAAATTATAATAATATTATAAAAATATTAAAATAATAAAAATAATAATATAATTGAAAAATTAATTTATACTATAAATTTAAAAAGTTATCATTAAAGAAAAACTAAAACATATCATCAAAGAAAAATTAAAATATATTAACAAAATATTAATATTAAACTTTTTAATTATAATAGATGCTATATTAAAATATAAATTAAAAAATATAAAAATAAAGATACAGATAATTTATTAAATATTAAATTAAAATAAAAATAAAATAAGTAATTATAAAAATTAAAATAAAAATAAAATAACTGTTCTGGTACTCACGTAAAATTTCTCTAATAGAAATGGTTGGACAACAAGGAAAATATTATTTTTCTTTTAAGTTTTTATTGGTGAATCTGAATCAAGATTTGACTTTACTATAGGAGAAGTGTTCACAGTATTTGTCCTAAACAAGATTATTTCCGAAAAAGAATATTATATACCATAAAACTAAAAAAAGTTAAAATTGTCATGCATTTATATCCATGTCGATAATACTTATAAGAAAAAAAATGTTTTAAAATTTTTCTTTAAATATAAGTAAATTTTAATCAAATTAACTTTATTTAATATTTTTAAGATAATAAATGAGAATACTATTTTATAATAATTGTGATTAAAAATATGTTAATAAATGTATCGTCTATTTTATATGAAACTGTAAAAATTAATTGTATTAACCACTTTCTTTTATTTGTATAAAATTATATATAAGTTCATAGATAATATTATGTAACATTGATTATAAATGACAAAATGTCCAATCATAGTTTTTTCTAATGATAGATATTAATTATTAATTGATATGTTTAATATAGTTAAGACTATTATATTTATAAAATTTCTATTCATTCATTTTTTTTTTTGTTCCTACCCTATTTTTAGAGATAACAAAATCGGTTTCGATCCACGAGTCAACCTATTGGTCTGCTAAAAAATTAATGAGTTGAGTTATGCACTGTAGCCTGCTTGACCCACTCTGCCTAATTTGTGCACCCACTGAATCACGTATATTTTTTAATATGTTTTCCAATTTTTAATGTTAAGTTTAAGTAATTTGATTTATTTTATTATATATAATTTTAGATTTTTTGGTGAAATAAATTTGTTGGAATAATTATTATCATTATAATTATATATCTATTTTATTATGTAGCAACTTTAAAATTTGATTACAATAAATTAAACTAAATATATTATAATTAAAATTTTATTTTATTATTTAAGTACACTAATTTATGAGTACTTTAGATATTAAAAAAGAAATATGTTAAAAGAAATACTTAAAATAAATATATAATTTTTAACTATATTTTTAAGTGAGGTGAGTTAGGACATCCAACCTCTTTTTACTTGATAGATCAATTCAATCAAACTTATTTTTAATCAAATGATGGTAGGATAGATTTAAATAAACTAAATTGACCCATATTATCTTCCTACTTATTTTCTTATGTCCTAGCAAGTCAAACTTAAAAAACATATCAAATGTTGAACTTAACTAAATATAAGGTAATTATTTAATTGAACATAAGTTTGTAACTTTTATAATATCTCTTTCTAAGTTCTTTGAATGAGTTTCTACCTCATTCAATCTCTAAAAAAATAGTTCATAAATATTACTTTATATTTACATACACTATTTTAGTTATATTATTAATTAACATGTGATTTAAACATATTTTAAAACTAAATATTTCGCGTGAATATTATATTAGAATATGGATTAGGACTTGCTAAAATTATTATAAAAAAAAAAAAAAAACTGAAGGTTGTCCTTCATTTGTATAGACTAATATATATGGCCACCTCTTAACATAAACTTCTGCATAGGATTAGATAACAAAGTTTTGATGAATTGGAGTAAATAGAGCTAATCATGAGATTTACAAGGCTTTTGCTTTAGGCATTTTAAAAAAAATGTATTAATATTTATATAATTTTTTAAAAGAATTAATTCTAAATAACTTATATTTAAAAGATATACAAATATAATAATTTTTTAAAAATTTATTCTAATTTTTTTAAATATCATTATTATTATTTTTAAAATCTCACTTTAAATTTGTTTTAGACTTGACCATATGTTGAGTCATGAAGTAAATGGAAAAGTAAAAAAAAAAATGTTTAAGAACTTCTGTAATTACAAATGACTTTGGAGGGTTAAAGGGTTTGACTGAAGGTAAAGGCCATTCTAACTGTAACAGCAGCACCACCACTTGTGATTCAATGCGCAAAATTGGAAATTATGAAACTAAAAGCAGAGTAATAAATTATGACGGTAGGGGTTGATCCACGCTTAAGCAAAATCAGGGGTTCGAATCCTGCCTTGTGTATGCAGCCGCGTTAAATCTTGGGACCAGCTATCCCACTCTTTGAGGTGCCTCCACCGTAACGAGGAGATTAGTCACTGCTGTCGGTGGTGGATATTTCAGGGACGAACAAAAAAAAAAGAATAACAAATTATGAATCTCATGTTAGGTACCCATATTTCCCATCTAACTCCTACAACCCAGTACCTACCTACTACCTTTTTTTTCTTTCTTTTTTTTCTTTTTTTTCATATTTTGCACGTATTAGGAAAAAATCATCATAATTTACTAGGTTATAATTAACACATATAATATTAAAAATGTAAGTAATAATTTATTGTATTTTATAATATTATAACATTATAATATTTGTTTGACTAAATTACATTTTTAACCTTTATTTTTATCAATTCGTAATTTTTGACTCTATTTTAAAATAAATATATTAAAATTTTCTAATTTTAAAAATATAGAATTTTGATCCTTTTGTCAAATTAATATCTATTAATTATTAAGTTTTTTATCCTTATATATCACGTCATTTAAGTGATGAAAAATTATCGAACAATATCAAAATTTAATGATGGATGAATATCAAATTAACAATAATTATTGAAAAAAATTCAAGATCCACATCGACTAAAGATTAGGTAATTAAATAGTATATAAGTGGAAAGCAATCCTTACTTTGTTAAGCTCATTCACTATTAAGGTTGAGTTAGACTCAAATCCACTATTATAAGATTAATAGAGAAATCAAAATTGTAATTTAACCTATTTATTTAGAACTAACAAAAAAATATGAACCCTTCTTAATCACATGTATTAATATCATATAAACATAATTTTTATGCATAATAAATAAACCAAGTGGATTAAGTCATGTTAGTATTGAAAGAACTAACAAAAAAATATGAACCCTTCTTAATCACATGTATTAATATCATATAAGCATAATTTTTATGCATAATAAATAAACCAAGTGGATTAAGTCATGTTAGTATTGAAACAATAAATCATGGGTAAATTGAAAATTGACGACATGAGGCTTAACACTCGAAGAAAAATTGAAATTGCACAGTCACAATAGGACAAAAAGTTATGTACTAGTGTCTTTTCCCATACTCTTTATCTCTTAATTTTTTTTTAACTCATCTCTTACATAAAGATTTAGAGAATCTTTATCTCTTCAACTTGATACACTTGTCCTGTCCTAGATCTACGTACTCCCAAGTTAAAGCTGAGATAGAACAATAGATTTATGGTGCTATTTGAGATTTTAATCAAGATAAGATTAAGTTCTATAAAAACACGTATATGTACCCAAAGTGTCTTGCATAAAAAGGACATTGCAATTTTATAATTGTCTTGATGAACAACAATAAAGTTCCACCTATTATCTACCTGACTACCTCTCTGAATTATATGTTAAGGCTTTCAGGTAAATTGATTGATTGCAGTCAAGTTGTACACAGTTGAACCAGAGCAAGAAACTGTGATTCGACAACTAAATTATCAACAACAAATGATTTACTTCACAGTTCACACAAAAAGAACCAAACCATCCCCCACTTCAAGAGAAGACAAAAAAATTTACACCTTGTATTTTGATTCTACTCCACATTCTTATTCATTTATTGTTTTCTTTTCCCTGAGATTTTATTTTATCTTTAAAAAAAACTTGTGCTTATATATACATATGCACAATGGCAAAAAACTGTTCTTTTATGTATGTGTTACCAAAAACAGAAGAGCTCAGTAAGAAAGTTAAAAAACATCTTCAATGCTGTCACAATTGTAATTTGCATTCAACAGCTAAAAACATTTTATACAACTCAAAGAGCACCCCCGGTTTCAATTCTTGACTGGAGTCAATTGGTTTTGGAAGAGTTGTTTAGCTGTTTTTCCCATGATCCACTCTAAATCTGATGAAGGCAAAGAGATCTCATTGGCAATAAGATGCACTGCATCTTTGGCTCCTTTGTAACCACATTCAGCAACAACAAATGGAAAATCGCTGTAACAGAGTGATTGGGAAAAAGAAAAAGTTAATTTGGTTGTTTATGGACAAGATTCTCTTATCTCTTCCTTTCCCTGTTCTACTGTTTCCTAACAAAGTTGATTACTATTTCAGCTGAACACGTGTGATTGGAAAGTTACCTGCCCCACATTACACGATTAGCACCAAAGTGAGAGACAACTTGGGATAAGAGAGGAGACAGGTCCAGATAAGGAAACTGCACTCTTGACACTCTGAAAAGGGCACTAAATTTCACATGTACCTGTCAAATTTTCAAACTTGGTATTACTATGGAGGTTTCACTAATTACGGAAAAAAGAAAACAAACTAATAATTATTTTAATAAGGGACTTCAGAAGGTTAAACAAATTTAGTTAGTTAAAGAGAAAAAAACTATGCACCAACAATGTAAAACAGTTTTACCTGTTATCCAATTACAAACCATTATTATGATGAGTTTTCTGACTTTTACAACAATTACTTCAAATTATGACTTTTTATTGGTTGAGATGCATGACCATTAAACCCGTTAGTCATATCCATATCTCATGTTTAATATTTTGTAAATTTACTTTTTTATCATTTTCTCAGATAATTGACAAGAGAATACTTCAGATACTCTGATATTAGCAAAAAAAGAATAAGCATATGCAAGAGCTACAAATTTGTGCTTCTCTCAAGGCTTTCTGCAGCACAGCAAAATTGCAATTAAAGAAAACTTTATGCATGCTTTTCTTCCTTCAAGTTTTTCTCATACGGAAAGAATCAAACACTTACCTGTGGGAATCTAGATAGATTTAAAAGTTGAGAAAAGACAAGACCTTCCTCATCATTTCTGCAACACAATATTCATATAAGGGGATATGCCAGGGCCTTTGAGACAATCATTATAAATATAATATGGCTTACAATGGTGGTTTGCAAAAGCTCAAGTGATCAAGCACTACAACTGTTGATGGAAATTCTGTGCATAATTGCTCAATTTCAGAAATATGCATGTCAAGCCCCTGAAATTAGTCAACCCAGTCATTCTTAATTTCCCTACTTCACATAAAAAAAGTGTCCCAACAGCTGTATAGAAGGGCCACAAGTAGGAATGTTATAGCAAACTAAAATTGTATTAATAGGAGGGGAAGAAGCTTTATAAGATGGTTCTTCTAAGATAGCAAACTAAGATAATTTACATATTACAATACAAGGAAATCAATAAACATACCTTCATACACATGAAGCCCACTGGCACATTGAGTTCTCCAGCCCTTTGGAAAATTGCCTTCCCAACTTTATTTGTCATCTGCAATGAGTTCATTCAAATATAACCCAGAAAAAAAAAAAAAAGAGACAATTTTGATACAATAAACAACAACATAACAAAGCCTTCTTCCATTAGATGAGATAGGCTACATGGTAAAATGATGCCATTGAACTCTGCCTGAAACCTTAATTTTGATCATATAATGTAAAAAGCTGTACGCTATTAGTGAAACATATGATGCCACCTTTTTATAAAGCAGTTCTAATCTTTTACTAAAAGTGAAAGACCATATTTACTACAAGTTAACATATTACAATGGTATGTATGACACTCTTATTTCTTGAAAGTGAGTCAAATTTAAGCTTTAAAAAGAATAAACTAGAAAGGAACATCCCTTATAACAAAAGTTTTGCTAAAATCCAATATTATTCACATCTTTGTTTCTTGCTAAACATATTTATCGCCTTTTCTTTGGATATCCTGTTTTAATCATTCATAGATTTGTCCACAATATATCTGTGATTTTCTTCTAAAGGTCGGCTAAAAACAAACATAAGGGTATTTCCTTGCTTGATATCCTTGTATCTGCCCTTATTCACAAGAAAATTCCTAGGAAGTTGAAATAATAATCACCACTGAGTATTCAATGCACATTTGGGTGAAGGAAGACTTCCTTATTGGTTCCTACCTTCTTCACTAATAAAAGTGATATAGAAGAGTAAGGGAAAAAAAGAATGACTCAGTTATGTTTTCAACCTAAATCATGAGCAGACAGACACGTGGGAAAGAAGAGGAGTTACCTACCTTTTCCCCGGATGGCCACAAATATGGGTTGAATCGAACAGCACGATAACCATCCTAAGACAAAAAGAAAAATTCAATTGCTTTCTAATAAAAATAAGCTATCTTGATAAAAAGAAATAATCCATTAAACCTTCAAAACAAGATCTTCAAACTGCTTAAGCCCATTTCCATCATCAGCTGGATTAGCAAGGCAACAACCAACAAATTTGGATGGGTATTTCTTCAAAACACTGCCCAATGAACAAATTGACAAATGGGAGAAAAACGTATTTTACTAACAAGGCTCCTTAATATTTTCACATGCATGTGGAAACACACATGCACGAATAAATTAGGAGGGCTCCTTTCTTCAAGCAATGAAGCAAATAGAATAGAAAATGATGGAATGATGGTCAGTATCAAGCCATTGTTATGGATATATTGGATTAGTATTTGGAGATCCAATGAGAAGAAATCCTATTTGTCAGGACTTTGGGATTAGACTTTCCTAAATTATCAGTCATTGTATTGTCAGAGCCTGTTTGGATACAAGCTTAGAAGCACGAGAGTTTTTTTTTTTTTTTTAATCAAAAACTACTCTTTATTTTCAGTAGAAAAACTCTCAAAAAATGCTTCTACTTTGTATACAAACAAAATCCAAAACTACTTTCTAGAAAGTTACTACAAATAAAACTTTTCCTCCATGCCACACAAAATGCAGTCTTTTTCCCATTTCGAGCAAATCAGAAACACTGATAGAATCAAAATGTGGTCATCACAGCCCAGAGAAAGCTCATGTTAACCTTATCTTTATTTTTCCATATTAAGAAATAAAACATTGATACACGCAATGAGCATCAATTATTTATTCACATCAAAAAAATTAAGTGCATCAACCTCCTTTATATTTAGAGAAACCATATGAATCTCTAACCACATTTAGTACAAAAACAAGAATTTCATACATGACTAAATAGACAAACTTAACAGATCGGGCTTTTAAATCATTAGATTCTGGGTTTATGAAATTTCATATGGTCGGATGGTCCACAGTTTACATAGTTTAATTTTCCAAGAATTTTGAACAAACCTTGTGACATAACTATGATCAAATTTGTGATTAATTGGCTGCACAATGAGTGCACCATCTACTCCTGCCTCCTCCATACACTGAAAAAATTGAGCATCACTGCATCAGCATTGAGCATCGATGATATATACACAAACGCGATATCCAATCACAATCACTTTCCATGTAATTAACCTCAACCCATTAGAATTTGTGAGAAACGGCAGATAGGGAGACCGCATCACATTCTAAATGAATGAGTCAATATTTGCAGGAAATACAAGAATAAGGCCTCTACACACTGTTTACACAAATATTCAAAAACTATTAATTATTACTAAGTTATTGACCCATGAGTAAACATGGATAGAGAGATAAAATAACTAAATGCATACCTGGAGCAAAAAATCGGCATTTCCAGGTAAAGTAGGTTCTTGTCCAGGAGAATAAGGGAAATTTCCAGCCTTCACTTTCACCCACAAAAAAGAGAGGATAATACTTACTATGTGAACAAACTAACAAAAAGATAACAAACTATATAGTCATGAATATAATACAAAATCATTATGTTGCATACAAGCTTCTGCATAGGATTATGCAGAGAATTTTTTTTACTTTTAGTGAATTGAAGTAAATTTCATGGTCAACAAATATGTACGAACTTCAGTAATTATTAAGTATTTTTCATGTAAAATAAACACGAGCATTGCTAACAACACTCTCCTTCTATCATTTTCTATGTTATTACATTATTTGATAAGTAACAGACTAAAATAGAACCTTGGTCTCTTTTTGAATTTCTTTTTATCTCAGTTTGGTTCAAAACTTTCACTTTATTCTATTAAATCAAATTGGTTCTTCCATCAGTTTATTACACTAATCTTGTCCACTTGGTGACACCGCCAAATTGTAATACATGTCAGCCAAAACTAACAATTTGACTAATAAAGATAATTTAAGAGTAAGTGAAAATTATTAAATTTATAAAACCAAGAATTAAAAGGAGATACCAAAATTTGATTTTAGCCTAAGTAATAATATGATTAGTTGCAACTACTAGCAGTAATAATAATGATATTAACAATAAATAAAGGTTTGAGGTATGGATAAAGAAGAAAGGAGGGAAATGTGAAGGAGTGTTACCTCTTGAGGTGAAGCCCACACGTGGAGATGAGAATCAATGACTTTGGAAATTGCAGTGAAAGCCATTCTAACATTAACAGCACAACTTCTGATCCTCAATTTCGACCTAGGTTTCCTCAAATGGCTTGGACCGACCAGAGTACGAAGCCTCAGCGCCATTTGTTCTCAATTGTGATGTCAACCATAAATTACTTCTGATTCGGATGGGATCTTTTTTTTATTGCTTTTAATTATTTGTAAGTAAATTATCTTCTTGCTTTATTTAAAAAAAAAATTAACTTTATTCATTCCAGTATTTTAACATGTTCATACAGGTTAATTGGTTGTCTGGATTTATATATAAAAACAATTTTCTGTTTTCATGCATATAATTTTTTAATTTTATTTTTTCAAATTTAAGATTTTAAAATTAAAAATTAGGTACAATATCAATTAATTTAATAAATATTAATAATTTTTAATACCATTAAACAAATATAGAGATATAGAGTATTTTGATCCCAATAGTTATATATAATTAAAATTTATAAAAATTATATATAAAAATAAATATTAATATAAATTATATTTTAATTGTATATAAATAAATATTTTTAAGTATAATTAATATTTTATTTATCTTTTCATGGCCATGAAGATTCATGTGTTTCAAACTTAAGAATTAAATACTACCTAAATATAATTTATTGTTTTTATTTTAAAATAACTAAAATTTTACTCTATATGATATATAAGTTAAATATTTGTTATTTATAACTTAAATTTTAAATGTTATATATAAAAATAAATATTATATTTAAATGTATAAATTTTATTTTAAATTTATGATAGATAATTTATTTTTAAAATATCAAAATTAGTTCAAAATAATTATAATAAATAAAAATTAAAATTAATAAAAAGTTAAAAAAAATCTCTAAAAATTATCTCATTAAAAAAATGTCATTAAAAACTTTCACACAAAATAACTGTTTGTATTTAATATATGATAGTTAATTTTTTTATTTTATTTATTGAAAATAATATAAGATAAAAAGGACATAAGAGTTACTTATTTTTATTTTTAAAATAATAAATTATTCACAATATACATTATGATACTGTGTTAAAATTATATTTAAGAATATTATTATTTAATTAATAACATGTCAAAATCAATTTTTTTCAAAAACATAAAGTAAAAAGCAAAAATAAAATAAAAAATGGAAATTTAGATTTATAAAAAAAAACATAAAGTGGATTTTAAAAAATGTATAATTTAGATTTTAGATAATGATAAACTGTTGGAATATAAATTAGGATAAATGCACGAAAATTTAGAGTTGATTTTCATGAAAAAAAATTGTTCATCAATATTTACTATCTGAGAAAGAAAAATTTGTAATTTAAAGTTTAAGCATAAAGTAAAATTTTACATTAGTTAAATAATATATAAATGAGAAAAATTCATCATCTAATATACCATAAATTTTAAATCATAATGATAACTTAAAATTTTAAAATATTAAATAGATAAGTGTTTCTCATTTATATATTTTAATTAACCACTAAATCCTAAACCTTAAATTTTACTTCACATTTCACCCTTAATCCTAAATTTTACTTTATATTTAAATTCGAAGTGTAACAAACTCACAGCTAAAAATTTTACACTATCAGTTTTACAAATTATAGCAATTAAAATCAATTTTTTTTCTTTCAGCTAGAAATTTTACACTATCACAAAAATGGTAGCAATTAAACTCAAAAAAAAATTATTTCGGTACATTGTTCCTACGTTGAGAAGTGAAATTATATTGATATTTTGCAACTCTTTTTCTCAAAATCAAACACATTTAAAATTCCATGCGAATAGCTTAAATAACAATTATGTATGTCCACAAATGAGGGAATTTTCATCTTAGAATGGGTTGTGGCTCTGGATTTAGATCATACGTGAGAATGAGTGAACCAAGACTGCACAGTTTTCCACACGCGTTTACCCGAAAAGACTGTAGTTTGTAGTCTTCCTTTAAACCCGCGTAAGTGTGGTGACTATAAGAAACGTCTCAATCTAGCCCCCATTATATGGAAACCACACGATTTCTTTTGGAAGGTAAACGACACGTGCTACTTACTCTACATTTGTGTGCCACATAACACCCTCTTTTCAGTTTTTTTTTTAATTTTTTTTTTACATAAGATAATATATAAAAAAAATTATTATAGTTGTGTTTAACGTGATGTGATTTGGATACATAATTTGAAAGTACTTAGTCTAATATTTCATGTATTATTGCATAATTGAATCTATAACTCGTCTTATCAGGTGTGTTCATTTATTTAAGAATAAAATAATATTTTTATTGAGATTTTATGTTTATATTAAAAATTAAATCCTAATTTTTAATTAAAGAATTATGTCTATAATATGTGACTGAAAAAAGGTAAATGTAATAATTGTTTAAAGTTTAATTATTGTGTTTCAAAAGTAGAAATGTATAAACCATCCAATAATACATGGATGTTTAAAACGATGTTTCTTATTCAATAAATAATAAATATATAGAAGTTATAACTATTTTTTTTTTAAATATTAAAAATCATCTCCAAAATGCGTGACTAAACACGTTATACATGTGAATGTAATGATTAATTAAAATTTATTTGACATTCAACATGTCTCTCATAACATAAAATGAGTAAACAATTTAATAATATATACATATTTTGAATTATGTTTTTCATCCAATAAATAACGTCAAAATGAGTTAAAGATGCGTAAGTTACAATTAAAAAGCTTTAACTCGGATGTTAAAAATCATGTCCATGATGCGTGGCTAAATACGCTATACATGTGAATGTAATGATTAATTAGAGTTTGGTTGATGTTCAATGTGTTTGTCAAAAAGTGAAAAGCACATAAACCATCCAATAATGCATGCATATTTAGAATTATGTTTTTCATCAAATAAATAATGTTAAATGAGTTAAAGATGTTGAAAGTATAACTAGAAGCTTTTATTGTTAAAATCATGCCCATGATGCGTGGTTAAATATGTTACACATGTGACCGTAATGATTAGTTAGAGTTTAATAGACATTCAACATGCTTAAAGAAGTGAAAACTACATAAATCAAATCCAACATGCATATTTAAAATTATGTTTCCCTTCCAATATATAATGTCAAATGGATTAAAGATGTGAAAGGTATAACTAGAAATTTTTACTCATACATTAGAAATCATGTCCATGATTTATGACTAAACACACTACACATGTGAATACATCGATTAGTTAAAATTTGATTGACATTCAACATACCTCGAAAAGTGGAAATTGCATAAACCAAATTCATTATGCATATTTATAATTAAGTTACCAATACAATAAATAACGTCAAATGGGTTAAAGATGTGGAAGGTACAACTACAAGCTTTTATCCATACTTTTAAAAATTAAGTCCATGATTTGTGGCTAAACATGTTATGCGTATGACGTGAATGTAATGATTGGTTAGATTTTGATTGACGTTCAGCATCCCTTGAAAAATGAAAATCGTGTAAGTAAATACAATAACACATATTTAAAATTACGTTTCATTCAATGAATAATGCCAAATGAATTAAAGATATGAAAGGTGCAACTAAAAGAGCATATTTAGAATTATGTTTCCTATTCAATGAACAACGCCAAATGGATTAAAGATGAAGAAAATACAACTAAAAGTTTTTACTCATACGTTAAAAATCATGTTCATGATTCGCGACTAAACATGCTACACATGTGATATGAACACAATGATTAGATTTTGATTGATGTTTCAACCTACCTTTAAAAGTGGAAACCGCATAAACCAAATCCAATAATACATGCGTATGTTTCCCATTCAATAAATATCGTTAAATGGGTTAAAGATGTGGAATCTTAAACTAGAAGTTCAATCAAATATTAAAAATTGTCTCAATGATGCGTGACTAAACATACTACACATGTAAATGCAATGATTAGTTAGAGTCTATCGACATTCCTTGAAAAATGGAAACCACATAAATCAAGTTCATATTTAGGATCACATTCCTCATCCAATAAATAAAATCAAATAGGTTAAAATGTGGAAACTAGAACTAGAAACTTTTACTTTAATGTTAAAAATCATGTTTGTAATGTGTGACTAAATACACCATACATTAAATACAATGATTAGTTAGAGTTGGATAGATGTTCAACATGCATAAGAAAGTGGAAACCGTGTAAATCAAATCATCACCATTTCAAAAAAGGCAACGGTTACATCCTATATTATTAACATTTTTTTATAGATTTTATCTTCTAAACTATTGTGTTATGGTGAACAAATAGTAGGTTTTTCTTGTGTGTGTATTGACAATGTTTTTGAGACCACAAGAATGTATCAAAGGCATATTAATATACAATTCACAATGAAACATGCCTAAATCAAACTCTATAATTTGACATCTAATTACATTCTCAAAAGAATGTAACAAATATACAATTCACTTAGAAATATGTCGAGATCAAACTCTACAATCTAACATCTAATTACAACTTACTCCAGATCTAGAAAGATCTACCATAAAGCATTGCAATGGAAATCCAAGCAGCCTGTCTAGGCTAAACTAATCTACTGTTTACAAATTAGAACAATATAGATAGCTCCTATTTATGGAAATACTCTAGGTTCAAGAATAAGACTTCATTAGACCCAAGTTGTAAAGAAATTTCTCAGAGCTTGATCGAAAAAGATTAGACAAAGAGAATTTTCCACTCTCTTGGGATGGAGGTTTTGAGCAGACATCATCTTTCACTTGCAGTATGGTCAAACCAATTTCTTTTCGAACTGCTTCGATTGTTTCACTCTTAACTGGATTTCCGGTTACATCAGTCACATAAAAAACATTCATGGCTTGGGTATCCCTGGTTGTAACTTCAGCTCGGTTGACTGAGAGACCATTTTCTCTAAAGATGCGAGTTACATCAGACAAAAGGCCAACCCTGTCTTCACCACATAGTTCTAGCTTTATGCCCTGCAATATCAAAAATACAAAAATATTAGTATCACATAAATATTTGGTAAAGAATTGTGAATTGGCATCCAAATCATGTGTAGTAGTGGCAGTAGTACCTCAGAAGTTCGTCTCCTAACAGCAGCCTCCAAACAATGAATCACCCTTTGCCTTTCTGCTTCAGAACTGATAGGACTTCCATCCACATGCCTTATATAATATTCCTGTAAAAGAGGGCAAAACATTTAAATTAGTGACGTTTAATGGTATAGCTAGTACCTTGAATGAGGACTTTCAATAGCAATCAGCAACAACAAACAAGCTGATAGGAAGGAATTATATAAATAGGCTTTTGATTTTCTACTTTAGTAAATGTAATGTAACCAAGTATGATAATTATCATTCAAGACTAAGCCGGTAAGATGAAGAAGTACTAACAGTATGTTAATTCCAAGAACATCAAGAACAAACCTGATATGCCTCTGGTCCTTCAGCAATGACAGTTCCATGGTACACAACATACTGCATGTCTGTGAGTGTGCACACAGTATCAAACAGCAACTTTGGTCTGTCTGGACACCTCAGGTTCACAACAGTGTATCCCTTATCTGTGCAATCATCAACAGTCACAAGGAGTTTGTTCTTGTCACTTGTTGATCCAGAATCCCCATCATAATCGCGGTCGGCGTACATCAACTGATGCAACCTCCTTTCCTTGTGAGTAGAACCAACAGAAACAGCAGTGTTGGCATTCTTCTTGTCAATGTCTCCTTCGAGCACATACAGCAGAAGCTGCTTGATCTTGGCAAGGCGATCCGGATTGTCGATGGACAATCCTGTTCCCTCATCTGTGATGTAAACAACAGATGCCATTCTTGAATTGTGGGTCCAGACTTCTGCTGCTACCACATTGCATTTGAGGTCTGCAAGAACGGCAAACACTTCTGAAAGCAATCCTGGCCTGTCTCTTCCGGTTAATTCAATGGTTGTATGTTTTGCCTCAGCTTGGACCCCAACAGACCTTCTCAAGGATCGGAAACTAGAGGCTCTTGGACCCAGTGACTGCAACAAGAAAAAAGAATCATCATCATGAATTGATAAATTCAAATGGATCCATAGAGAATAATGACATAAAAGAGTGAAATTGCTGATTCATGTTTGAAAATGAAAACAAACTAGTCCTTGTTTTCTCAGGTTCCTTCTCAATTAATTTGTTGAAAAGAAATTTTATAAACAGAATCATGGCATTATTTCCTTTCTAGGATTAATATGCAGACCAAGCAATCACTCCTTTTCCACTTGTTTCCCATTTCCTATTCCATTCAAAGATAACAGCAAAGAATTCAAGGTCATGAATTCACAAAACTATGAGCTGGAAATTGAAATTTTGAGCAGGATTATATCATATATATGAGCATGGCGTTTAAGAAACTAAGATAATTCATAATTGAATGCTGCTTTTAAGGGGGTAAAAAGAAAAATAAGAAATAGACTCAATCTCAATTCCAATGCCAAATTACATAGGAAATGACACAAACATAAAACTGGCCTCAGATTATTTTTGCAGATCTACCTGCTGAATGCGGTCGGCTACATCATCTTGCATAAACTTTTTCCCATTTTGATCCGTAACATGAAAAACTGGCCAGTGAGAAAAAAAAAATCACACAAAACAAGATTACAAACGCAATTCACCAAAGCCATGGTAGATGGAAAATTGAGAAAGTGAGTGTGAAGAGAACCGTACCATCCATGAACCACCCACCATCAGAGGAAATGTAAGCTCGTCTAACACTGAGATTCATGTCAGTGAGAACCTGAACCACTTCCAGCAAGCTCCCACGTCTGTTGGCGCTGTCAACCTGCAACAATCACGGAAAATTGGTCACACAAAAGACCCTTTTGCAATGCAGCAAAAGGGGTGTGAATGGAAGCTGAATTTGTCACCTTTATCACAGTGGCTGTTCTGCTCGAAATGTTATCCACAGCAACTCTACAAAACAGAAAGCAAGCAGTATTGAGTTGCATAAACAACAGCAGAAAGGAGCAACAAGAGAAAAGGGTTGGAAGATGAGAGTTTTTGGTCCACCTTGGGGGGTTCATTCGAATTACAAGCTTCTCAAATTCATCATGGAGAGGGAGAGGAGAGGACCAACAATCCATGGGGTGTGGTGGGAAACAGAACAGAACAGAGCAGAGTGGTTTGTTTGGATAACGGAGAGTGTGTTTGGGGTGTGAGTTTGTTTGTGTCTGATTTGATTCGTGTGTTGGACTTTCCTTGTACCTTCGGAATTGGGATGTGTGTTATGTTGTGTTGGGGCTTTAGAATATGGTCGAGTGATGGATTGATTGGTGGGATGGCTCCTAAGATGGACCAAGAGTTTCCCAACGACACACCACACAGCACAAATAACAGCAACACCCTATCATATTTACTCTTCACAACACCACCTTCATGCTAAATATCTATCAATTTTATCAAAGATTAATATATTTATTTAAATTTATATATATATATATAATTAATTCATTTTATACATAATGAAAATAATTAAATATATTATTCTGTATAAATTTATACTATATTTATTAAAATATCTTTAATCACATTAATTATTGTGAATAGTATTCTCATTTATTGTCTTAAAAATATTTTTAATTAAGAATATTAAATATAGTTGACTTAATTAAAATTTGTTTATATTAAAATTAAAAAAATTTAAATATTTTTTTACTTATATATATAAGCTCAAAGGAAGTACTTTTTTACTAAAAATTTTAGTGACTTTGTTAAAAGTTAATATACATCAAAAGATTTGGCTAGTTACTTTTACTAAGTTTTTACTTACTTTGCTAAAAATTAATATCTATCAGAAAAATTGACACCTCACTTTTACCAAGGTTTTGACTAACTTTGTTGTTTGATATTATGTGGATCTATATTTAAAGTTGATAATTAAATATTGATTTATAATTAAAGATTGATTTAGATTTTTCTAATAATCAAATATTATTTTAATAAAGATAAAAATCAAACCTAAGATCATTAGGTCAACGGGTATCTTAGGTAGACCTGACGATCATGGAATTAAGAGACTTAATTTTTACAATCTCACATAAAATATATATTATATATTTTTTAAAACATTTTTAATCACATTCATGATAGATAATACTATCATTTATTACCATATGAATATTTTTGAATTAAGAATAAGAATATTAAATAAAATTGACTTAATTAAAATTTAATTATATTTTAATCTAAGAATTTTAAGTATTTTTTTCTTATATATAAGTAGTTAAGTACCGTCATAAAACTTGATTACTAATTTGAATTAGATTTTTCCTTTTGACCATAATTTTTTTTAATCTGGGTAATAAAATCCAAATTCATGGAAAAACCAAGAGGTATCGGTTATGTTTTGTTTTCTTTAATGGGGCTAAATATTTATTGAATTATTTACTATCATAATTAATGGTCAATAAATGTTTAATTACTCAATAAAGATGCCTGTCCAAAAAAAATGACTTTGACTTTGGTTTGGTAGCAATATGATATCATATTCATCATCAGGAGAACCAGAGATCAACATGTATTTGGCCCAACTTGGACCATCAATCACCGGAATACATCTCTCTTTGTAAATAGACTCCGCCGCCATTTCTCTTCAATCAAACAAAACACAGTAAACAAAACAACCAAAACCAAACGCATCACTCTGATTTCAACACAACTCAAATCAAAACATAAATCTCTTACGAAAAAGCACAGCTCAGAAACAAATCAAACAAAACAACTTTCACTCTTCAATTTCTTTCGTCCTTATAATCGTAGCTGTGAATCTTCTAATAAACTTCTACGCCTAATTTCTCAACATTTCTCTAACACTAAAAAAAACGAATCGATTAAAGCAAAATCTTACGAAATGAAATGAATGAATGAAGGTTGTAGCGATTGAATACCTTTGCATACCGAGGTGAACGAGTTCTTCGATGGCCGAATCAAGAGCGAATCGATTCTCCTTCTTGGCCAACAACTTTACCTCCTGAACGACGTGAATCCCCCAACCGTTCTTCAGATCCGGCGAGTACATGTGCCGAATCGCGTCGTCGATCGCTTCTCTCTCCTCAAGGCTCGCAGATCCGAGATCCTCCAAGAACCGCGCCACCGTCCGCCGCCGCAGTCCTTACATTGAAAATATTGTTATTCATAGTACATGTATGGTTCCTTACATGGAAATTGTTTTTATTCGAAGTACACAACAATAGGGCTCCTTACTTGGAAAGTGCCATCATCCCAAATCAAAGAAGAAGAAACTATACCCACATTAATTCTCCCTTCAATCGTAAGAGTGAATGACTTCTTTTGACCCACAGATGAAAAAGACAAAACATCTGGCTCTACTTTAAAGTTCAACAAGGAAGGAGGTATAGTTACTCTAGCTCTATATTTTGATGTAGCGGATCCAACATTGGTAACAGTTCTATGAAAAACGCGAGTAAAAGATGTTGAGGTGTTCATGTAGAGCGCAAAAGATGGGAGATTTAGATCCCAAACGGTTCCAATGTTGTCTTGTGTACAACTGCTATTATCAGCTGTAATAGTTCTTATCTTCTTAGTATCATAACCTTGGCCACACAAAAACTTGACATAATCAATTTCATTGGCATCATATACTAAGCCAGGACTCACTGCCTTAATAGGGTCAATTTGTCCCGCACCATAAGCAAATTCAGCTTCAGGATTAAGTGCGGAACTCATTGGGGTAGCTGCATTAAGAGACAACAATGTTGGTCATCATAACAAGCATAGATATATTTATAAGACAAAAAAATTAGCATTTAAATGGATCGAATTAATTATTGGAAGAAAAAAAATTTATATTTACACAAAGGGTTTTGTATTATAATATTTCTAAAATTTCTTTTAATATCATTCTTAAATATAGGATAACTTTTTATTATACATCTTCCCAAACTGATTTTACTAAAATGTAAAACAAGCATGCCCTAGACGGTTATATATTTCCTTAATTGAAAACTAAGTTTCACAAAAGAAAATAAATTATAATTATGTTATTTAGAAATTGAGATTACTCATTACCAGTAGTCATTAATGCTGATTTGATTGTTGCGGGAGACCAATCAGGATGAAATGATTTGATATAGGCAGCTGCGGCAGTAACATGAGGGCATGCCATTGATGTACCAGACTGTATATTATAATTTACTTTTCTTTTATCACCTTTAAACTCAGAAACAGAACCAATTGGAGACCATGCAGCCAAAATGTCAACTCCAGGAGCAGCTAGATCAGGCTACAAAAATAGGGGGAAAGCTTATTAAGTAATTATGTTGGGGTAGAGGGTGTCACAATAACAACTCTCTACCTTAAAAAGGGGTAATGTTATCTGGGGAGAAATTTTATATGAAAAAAAATTACTCATTTTAAAAACATAGTATTTCATGAAATTGGATTTTATTTTTCAAGCTAAGTCATACACGTATTCAGACTTTTTGAACGTTTATGAAATTAATTTAAAATTTTGCATTTTCTATGAGAAAGGTTGTGATTTATGTGTGTTTTTGACTGATAAAAAAGGCTGTGATTTATGTGAACTGTTTTTTTTATTATTTTAATTCGTCTAAAGTTATAAACGTTATATCAACCCTTTTGACTTTTGTAACTGTTTTACAAGAGTTAAAAAAAAATTAATTAATGACATTAGTCAATAATTTATTTTTATATTATTTTAATTTAAATTATTTTTTAAAAAATATAGGACTTTATTTTTCTGTTTTCTTCACATAATCAATTGATGTATATTCACTTAAATAATGATGTTTTGACTAACGTTTGACTAGTGATCATCCTCTGTCGTCGTGAAAGAGAAAAAACCCAAAAAACTAATATATTGCATTTATTACTCTTTGTTGACCAAAAAATTCAACAAGTGATTAAGTAAAATTTTGTAAAACAAAATTAATGCAGTGAACAATTTGAACGAGGTCTAATAAAAAAAAGACTAAAGTAAACCTCCTAAAACGTTTTTGTAAAACAACCAAAGATATGTTAAAAACTGAAGTGCAAAATTATAACTGTTGATGCAAATATTAATAATCAAAATTTTAATAATCTTATGAGTTTTAGTAATGACTAATGAGTTTGGATTCTTAAAAAATGTTTTGTTTGAATCTCCTAAAATACAATTAAGTAAAAATAATTTTAAAATTTATATATTGAGTATTATTTATATTAATTGGTTGCATATAATTTTATAATATATATATATATATAAGTAGGGAAAAAAAATGATGTTATGTGGTTGGTGGTGAGTGGTGTGAAACATGTTTCTAATTTGTGATAAGAAATGAGCTGGCATTTACAGTGTTGCTTTGAATGAATAAACCGCTTAACAATGACTTGCCTGTCATCCACGCGCTCACTCAAATCGCTTTTCTTTTTAAGTCAAACCTTGTTTTACAATTCAGGTTACTTAAGATACCAACCATCATAATCATATATTTCCAATTTCATTTTCTAAATATCATCTTTTTTACTCATTAAAACAAATACACTACATCAATTATATCATCTTCATTCAGTTTAACCAATGATATTCAATTTTATTTTATTTTTTAAATATACAATTATGTTAAATACTTTAAAAAATTATTATTCACATTATATCGATGTCTGACAAAAGATATATATGTGTTTAGGATTTAGGATGTTTAAATATTTGAAAATAATCTTTCCCGTTAAATAATACGAATGGCCAAGTGTATCGTCATATGTACTTATGTCCGTGTACAAACCGCTAGGAATTAGTTTTTTTTTTTTTAAAGAATAATAAGACAATGTTTAGAAATAATTTTAGAAGTATTTTTAAGAGTTTTTTTTATTAAAAATATTTTTAATAAAAAAAACTCTCTAAAAAGTTTGTAATTTATATTCGAACAGATTCTAAGTATATTTTTGGATATGTGTCGCTATAATTAATTTTGAATCAATGTTAATTTTTATAATTGATTTTGAGTAATTATAAGTTAAAAGTAATGTAATTTTCGTTTGAATGAAAAAAAAACATATTGAATATTATTTGAAAATTTGTTATCAAAAGTTGATTTCAAGTGTGTAATTAAAAATCTAGGCAAGCAAAACTCAACTTGATTTTATTTTATGAAGAAATTATTAATAATTACTCTTAAGTGGAAGTGATTCAAGTGAATTTTGATATCTTAAAATTAATTTTGTTAATAATTAAACATACAACAAACATAATTTTGATTGTTTTTTATGTAATTAATTTGATTTTAAACATATTTGACATGAAACCAAACACATCCTAAAGGGATCAATTGTATAAAAAAGAAACAAATCAATTAATGTCATTGTTAATTCTTTTATAGAGAAATACTAGCAAGATACTCTTTTTTATTGGTTGAAATTTATTAAAAAAATATAAAATTTTATAGGATCTATATTCTATTTAATAATTTTTTCTATTCATTTTGTAATTTTTAATAAATTATAATTAATAAGAATGAGTGCATTAAAAAGTGTTACTAGCACTCATTTTATATATAAGGGAGAATGAATTCGTTTACTCTATGAGGAAGTCTATTTAAACTTATTTCTTTTACTAACTCATATTCTATATTAAATTTCAATAATCAAACCATTGAATTTAAAGTTTCTAATGCATAGATCAAATTTACAAATTTTTAAAAAATTTAAAAATTATTTGATACCTCGTTTCGTTAATTCAAATTGGCAGATAATTATAAAATTATTTCATATGTTAATTTCAATTAATAAAATAAAGTAGAAAATAATTTTCAAATTTTTAATGAATGTGCAAATTTAATCTATGTATTAAGAACTTTAAATTCAATGATTAAATCATTGAAATTTGATATAGAACATGAGTTATTGAACGAAATAAATCTAAATAGACTTACTCTTATATATATATATATATATATATATATA